CCCGGGGATGCTCAAGGCTTGGGAAATCTTTTTGTAGCCTAAGCCTGCTTTAAATTTCTCGATAACTTTATCCCTGAGCTGTCTGGTGTGTTCTTTGGACTTCATGGTGTTGTTGCTCCCAATATTCTCTTAGACAACCTCTGAGGCCGTCACAGAGCAGCTGCATTTGTACTGACATTAGATTACACACAGGTGCACTCTATTTAGTCATTAGCACTCATCAGGCAATGTCTATGGGCAACTGACTGCACTCAGACCAAAGGGGGCTGAATAATTACGCACACCCCACTTTGCAGTTATTTATTTGTAAAAAATGTTTGGAATCATGTATGATTTTCGTTCCACTTCTCACGTGTACACCACTTTGTGTTGGTCTTTCACGTGGAATTCCAATAAAATGGATTCATGTTTGTGACTGTAATGTGACAAAATGTGGAAAAGTTCAAGGGGGCCGAATACTTTTGCAAGCCACTGTATTTTCTGGAAAACAGAAGATAGTTTATTTTAAGATGAAGGGAGGTGTAATCATAAATCTGACCTCACTGACCTCAGAGGCTAGAATATGAGGCTTACTTAAAAGTTTCACTCACCAAACAAAGAAAGAATTAAATAAATAACAATAGGAGAGGAAGACCAATAAGAAGAGAGTTACAGTAGTCAGTGTTGGACATAACCAAGGTGTGCGCAAGGATGGCAATGGGGAGTGAAAAACTGTTACATTTAGACAAGTTGGATTTGATGCCAATGAGGAGAACTACCGTTTTATCGATAAGGCTATTTGAGAAGATGAGAGCAGGTGTGATAGTGGTAGTAGGTTTAGTAGACAGGTAGAGCTGGATACCATCAGCACAACAATGGAAAGTAAGAATTAATTTATCTATGACATGACCAAGATAAAGTATATAGATGATAAATAAAAGAGGCCCCAGGGCAGATCCCTGGGGTACTCCAGGAGTAATTAGAATTGAGCGGGTTTTGAAATTTGAGTTAAATGAATTGAGTGCAGCTGAAGAGATACGATTTCTGCCTGCGAAGTAGTGTTCAAGACCACAGAGTGGAAACGCAAGATCACTACTCAGTGTAAGGTTTATGCCACAGCTGCAATTAACAGTACTGGTAATTACTAAAATCATTTTTTTTTATGTTTCTGTAATGGTTAACCCATCATATGCCCAAGCACTTTAATCAAAATCATATTATGATATGATATATTGTGATATATAATTATTATTGTTATCCCCTAATTGTTATCTATTAATTTTTCAAATATAGTGTTTTTTTAAAAGAAAAAAACAGTAAAGCACATTATTATGTTTTGATTAAGATGCCATATTAGTTATTTATTTACAGTGATGAACAGAAAAAACATGTTTTAGTGTTTGACTGTTATGCTTGATTCATTTCTGACTCACAAGTTTGAACTTTCCTAATAAATAATATCACTTTTAGTTTTTATAGATTTCTAGTTTTTCTATAGTTTTCCTATATTTTATTTCTATATTTTTCTTCTGTCTTGTTTTTATGGCAGGTGGTTAAATTTGTTAAGCACTGTAAGTGTCAGTAATACATTGATTAAATATTTTGTCTCATCACCACCCCGCCATGCTGTATAATTTTTGGGTCACACTTAGTTTACTTATGCAATGTTCAATTGGAAATCTTTTTTTTTTTGTTGTTTTTTAACTGTACCACTAATTGTAAATTTTTCCAGCATCAGCTTGATGTTTAAAATGTAAATGTTATGACAGTTTGTTGATTTCATGTTTATGTCTTGTAAGCACATTAATTCAAAGTGCTGCACAAATATTTGTCGATGTTACACATATTTAATACTGGAGAGTTAATCACATTCTGGAGCCTTGCACAGTTTATATTTACCTACATGTCGCTCAGTTGAAGCGCTCGTCTTAATCGTCTTAGCAGAAATTAAGGACTGCATGTGTTGCCCAAGGACACATCAGTAATCTGCAGGGCTACTGAATGCATTGGTTGCTCATGGATAAAATCTCTTGGACCTCTGCTATGAATTGCAGAATCCCACTGATGAGAATAAAGCACTCTCACAGGCTATGGTATATTGTAATTAGGTTTATTTTGGGCTCACATAAAATATAGAGGGCCCACAGAGGTCACCTCACAATGACAACACTGATGCTTTGACAAGTGCTGTTAGGAAAATAAACAATGCCACAGGAAAGGATTTTAAATATAGCTAAATTCATTTCTACTGAAAGAGGTGGACACAGTTCAGACCAGCATGGTTTAAAGCTGTATTATACTTTTACTAGCTGTTATAAAGATCGCTGTTGCTGTGGGGTGTTTTCAGCAGCATTTTTCACTTCATATAAGACACTGCATGCTCATACAGCAGTGTCTTGTCAACTACAAAGTAGCCCTGTCCTAAAGTACCCTGCTTTATTGCTGATTTTAATCTAGATGTAACCATTTGTTAAAAACAAGACATGTTTATTAAATGAACCATTAAATTAGAGTTTGACACAAAAACTCATAAGAAAATGTGTTTACTTAGGTCAAAAATCAAGGGAGTACTAAGATGATTTATTATACATATAGACTTCTTTTTACAGCCACAGGTATCAGACCTTACTAAGTTAAAGCAAATGTGGAAGGTGTTTGATGCGCCGATCTGCTATAAATGCACATAATAAGCTAGTTTATAACTTCGCTACACATGGGAATGTTTGGAGGATCCACTTCAGCAGATATATCCAGTGTGCTATCAATTCCTTCAATTTCTGTTATTTCTGTTTTTTCCATCTGTTTTGTGAAGCACTTTTACAATTCATGATCAACTAAATTGTACAAGCTAGAGCTTATCTCAGCTGTCATTGGGCGATAGGTAAGGTATGCTCTGCACATGTCGCCGGTTTCACAAGGCTTAGACCAAGAAGCATCATTCACGCTCACATTCACGCTCACTTAACCTAACATGCATTTCTTAGGACTATGGGAAGAGGGAGAACCCACACAGGCACAAGGAGAGAACATAGAAACTCCCTAGCCCTAGCCAGCCAGTGGGTTTGAAGCAAGAACCATCTTGCTGTGAAGCAAAGGTACTAAACCAGTGCAACCCATGTCACTTCTATCATGTATCTTGTTTGGATTTGGTATGGTTAAAAAAGTAAACATGATCCCACCTCTTTGTATTGATGTGCTCGTTTTCACCAAGACATACTGTAATACATGCAAAATAATGGACGCTACACGTCTTCAAAAACAGAGCAGAAGAATACTGATTGAAAAGAGAACATAACTAGGGTGGGTTTTAATTACAGTCATCACGTTTGTAGCACACGGGATTAATGATATCTTCGCTGTGACTAATTGAGCCTGTTTTGGCCTGAACATGTGATGAAGACAATAGCTTCAATTCTCCTCACAAAGCAGCAACCAGTTGAGTGTCTGATGGCTTGGGCTTTGAGCAGACCTGTCTGACACAGACATCAATGAGGTCGGTCTTCTGAGGCTAAGCACAGGCATAATAATTAATCTTCTTTGACATCATCATCCTCAGAGTCACCTAGCAACTGTCCACCTGCATTAACAAGAGCACAATAGAGGCCTGTCATGGACTGCCTGAAGTGGGGGTGTTCAGTGGTTGGAATCCAAATGCCTCCATGTAGGAACAGTAGGAATGTACCGGAGGCTAAAATAACATGATCAACACTTGCTTTTTTGGGTTTTTTTAAAAAAAAAAAACTTGTCAAACAGCATTTTATAGATTGTTGGATTGGAAACGTAATAGAATTTCAAAATATATTTGGGACAGGCTTTTTCAAGACACACATTAATTAACACATCTCTGGTGAGATTTTGATGTTAGCTCAAATTGTTTGCATCTTAATTATCACTGTGGGTCTGAACCTCACACTCATTTATTTATATTACACCATAAGTGAGAATAAAAGGGAAAGAAGCATGAATATTCATTCACCTGTTCTTCTTTTATGCGTTCTACACCTCTTCTATCTTTTTTTAGTCCCGTACCACTGCACAGCAATTATTTTTAGCGGGAGAAATGGAGGAAGAGGTGAGAAGGTTACAATCATTTATTTGTTTTCGGTCTTGTGTAAGCAAATCCATCTTCTCGAAAGAAAATTAAAGTGAAGGCAGGATTTAAATAACTTTCATTAAATGTTGATGGGCTCGATTAGCTCAACCAAACACCTAACTAGATAAAGACACCAGTAATGTCAACATTTTTTAAAGCAGTCTACACACTAAAAAGACAAAAGTGTGTGCACCCAGGAACTCACACACATACTCAGATGCCAAAAAGTCAGCTTGTATGACAGCATAGTCCAACCAGTATTTTTCCGCCTCAGTAACAGGTATGATTAAGTTCTCAAATGAAAAATGCTGCATTTTTAGTTTCCATATTATGAACTGCTACTTGCTGTCTCTCTCTCTCTCTCCCACACACACAGATTTAAGCCTAACAGCAGTCATAGAAAAGAGACCAAGCTGCCTATCAGTCGATGACTGGAAATTGCAAATGGCAGCGTGTTCAGGTAAAATACTGTGAGTGAGTTCCTCAACGTGTTTACTCCTGGAAAATTGGGGAATAACAGGCTGTCATATGGTGACACATCAGCCTTTGTTAAAGAAATTACTTTGCTCTTTGCCCAGCTCTCTGATGCTCGGCCTCCTGGACAAATTGTCCATTTGGCGAGTGCAGACTAAATGGAACTGCGTCTTCGGCATGCTGCTCTACCGAAGCACAAAGAACCCGGGGCAGATAAGAATCCAATTATCCAAAGCAAATAATGGATGTCTCATTTAAGATGTGCAGCAGTTGCGACAGTAATGGCAATGCCACAATTTTCCTGAAGCCAACCTCTATCAATTGCATCATCTGCTGTTTAACACTAAGTCATCTACAGCCATACAGCCGACTACAAGCTGTCAAACGTCACATAACATAATAAATCTTTTCATGGCACAGGAAACATGGTCTCAAAGATGGAGTGTTTACTCACATGGTGCTTAGGTGCGGGTTCTGAGCAAACGCTCGAGGCTGGATAGACTTCAGGTTACAATTCATGATAGTTCTGAAATGAAAAGAGATCAAATACAGATCAGACTGTGTGGAAACCTGCGAAAAAAGACATTTGTTTTTTCCTAGTATGCTCACATGCGACTGTATGCAGTCCATTTCAAGTCATTTTGCATGTTTGTTTTACCATAGCAGTGCACTGTAACAAGAAGGGTTCTAGCTTTTCCAGTTTTTCATATTTAAACATTTATCTGTATTCTGGCACACCCCGCAGAGCTGACAGCCAAATGAAAATTCACTTTGATGCGCCATTTGATGAAAGATTTGTGAACTTGTGTGTCTTTACTTTGAAATGACTGAAACCTCTGGTTAGAACATGCATTCCCTCCTTGTGCTAACAGTCAAATTAAACTAATACTCATTTTGCTGCGGACCCAGTGGATTCTTCACGACGACTCCAAGAATTCCCAGCGTCCCAGTTTGGAAACCACTGTTCTGGGCTACAATGGTAATGACTTCTAATCTTGTAATCACAGATGTCTCTTTCCAAAGACGTCACTGACGTCTTCAGTGAGCGCCTCATAACGCTGTGTGCTGATTACATCCAGCTGTTGGCGCCAATTACCTTCTACAAGCTTGATCATGCCTCTGTGGTGTTTGGCGAGGATGCGGTGATTCATTGCCCACTAGTTCCCAAAGAGGGGCTCTGGGACCTCAAAGGGTCCTTCAAAGAGTTTAGGGGAATTCCTTACAAATAGATTCCCTCACAAAAAATGAACAGCAATATTTCGACTTCTATTTCATATCCATTAAATTAGCACAACCATATACACAGATGACTGTACTGCTTTTGCTTTTGTCCTCCCAGCAGTAATGACTGGAGCAAAGGCATTTATACTCAACACAATTATCTCCTTAAACAGCAGTGAATTAAATGGAGACATTACAGGTGAATGGGGTAAACATTTACCTAATGGATATCACCAGGAAACTTCCCCAGTCGATTGCTTAGGTGAAAATGATGTTTTGTATTAAATACATTCAGAAAAGAATCTATGTTTAAATATGCAAACAAGATATTATCTAAAACTGATTACATATTTCTTGCAGAATGGAAATCTGTAAATGAGATAAAGTTTGATCTAAAGGTTTCTACAAAGTAAATTTTGGGGTGTCACTATCAAAAGACAGAAAAAGCAGATTTTCACCATGTAACTAGAAATACATTTAACATTAATTTAATAATATCTCCATTAACCTGCATACACAGAAATACAACTGGAAAGCTGGGTTTGCACGTGTGTCACTGAAGTGGTGATTTGTGGCTCAAAGTATGAAGAAAAGAATTTTGAGATAGTATGATCGAAAATTATGGAACACAAAAAATTTCACATATTTTTAAGGGGAAAAACCCACAATTTTCCAGCGAATCTTTCACCAAAGATATAGTAAATGGACTGGCACTCGTATAGCACTTTTCTACTTTCACTGAGCACTCAGAGCACTTTTTACTACGAGCCACATTCACCTGTTCAGTGCTTTATTCTATGCCTTTGAGTAGTGAATGTGGATGGGAAGAAAACATCCAAAGTAACCAGTGTAATCTAAAGCATGTGTGTCACCTTAATGTTTGCTAGATTTGAAATTTTCAGCTTTTAGCACACTAAAACATTTCATTACATGAAAAATAATGCCGCAGGATCATTTGTTTTCATTTATTATAATTTTTTTTATTTTATCACTTAATTAAATAAAACCAAACTAAATGAAAGGCAGTAAGAGCTGACCAAAACATTTAACCTATATGGGCAAGAGTACTGGACCACCTCGACATTACACCAGCAGAAGCTGCTCAGCCAAAGAAACCTATACCATGAAGTTCTCAGCACACACATTTTTTTGCTGATGTTTATGGCAGAGGAGGTCTGTAAGTACAGCGTTAGTTACTTTTTCACACTATTCACTTCAGGAAACAGCAACCCCATTGTGTAACTTTACGTGGCTTTGTGGCTTAGTTAGGTGTTTCCTAAATGCATCCACTTTACAAAATTACTACTTACAACCTATTGTGTAATAGGGGAAGACATTTCACAAATAGACTTGGTGCAATGATGGCATTACAGTACTACGCTTGAATTCATTAAGCTCTTTAGAATGATCCATTCTTTCACAAAGCCTTAAGCAGACTGCATAGCTAAGTGCTGGATTTTGTATACTTGTGGCAATGGGACTGATGTCACCTGAATTAAAAAATTAAAAAGCATGCTTTTTTTCCATGAAGTGTATAAATTATGGGTGCTTTAAACCTATCTTGAACATGTAACTGTCAACAACGCTTCCTTTGTGACATTGATGAGGCAGCAAGAAATCTACTGTAAGGTGTAGATGCCTGTGGAAGATGCAAAGTAACAACTGCATTTGCAGAGTCTGGTAAATGCAGTAAACATTACACCAGTGCTGTTTTTATCATATTTGCTACATTGCAGAATAATCCGGATTATACTGAGGCTAACACTATGGTAGCTAAATAATGAAAAAGTGCAAACAAAGTAAAGCATGGTTTATTTTTCAGATTCTTCCTGATTCTTTTCAGATTCTATTGACAGCATCTTAACCAGCATCATTAACTCATCACCTGAAATGATTTTCAATATAAAGCGAGTCTTGTTAAAAGTTAAATGGTGAAGTTTCTTCAGTTTATGGTGTGCTGACAATGTGTCGGCATACAGCCAATCACTGCATTCAGACACTTTACTAATCCATATTACATCCAACACCTGAACTTAGTGAAAGCAAAAAGACTATTATTATGTAATGTCAATATACTGTAGTTTCTTAAAGCACAACCTCAAAACCTATGGGAGGATCAGTGGATTCATCCATTCATTTTCTTAACTGCTTATCCACAGGGAGGGGCAACAGTTTAGCTTTCATGGGGTGAGGAGTCGGCTACACCCTGGACAGGTTGCCACCTTATAATCAATAAATTCCATTAGTGCTTCCGGTAGCAAAACAGATCATCTGTTTGGAAAGAGACAGCCTAAATACGGCATCCATCACGTCGTGTTCAAACTGCTGTGAAGAAATCACTAGTCAGGTGGGACCAAGAAAAAGATTAAAAAGTCCATCTGAAATCTTCGCTTTGGTCTGATGAGTCCAAATTTAAGACTTTTAGGTCAAAACCATCAGGTCCTTCCCACCATGAAGCATAGGAGCTCAACTGAGATAGTCTGAGGTGAGGTGGACTGCAGATTAAAAAGCAGCCAACAACAGATTTGCATATGTGGGCAGAAAAATAACGCAGGTGAGCTCATGAGGCTGGTTAACAAAATGAAAAGTTGGCAGAAGGCTTCTATAAAGTATTTTGATGTCAGCCTTTCAAAAAAGTTCACCCACTCAGCTGCACTAAATATAAAATTACATTATTTGGATAATATTCTGCCCTCACAACATTTAATAACACTTAAAAACATAGCTGCTGCTGTGGAGAGTGAATTGTTTCGAACAAATCCTCAACATAAAACAGCAGAAAGATTACGTTAAAATCCACAATACTTGTTTTTCCTTTGTATGATATTTGTCGTACCTGTAAGATAAGCTTGTTTCTGAAGTGTGGTTTCTTTGAAATATGGTGTGCATTGGTTCGATAGGGACATTTTGTACAGTACGTGCAAAATGAATAGCACTCATTTGTTAATGCTGCTTTCATTTTGAAGACCACTTTGGGTTTGTTAGTGAATAGTCAGGCATCTATAAAATGTTTTGTTTGTTTTGGTAGGAAATTAGCTCCATATACGAGAAGTACTTGCTAAAAGCTACAGTTCCTGCTGTTTCAGAAATGATTGAATAATGAATGTCAAAAGCCTTATAAAGTAAATGAATCCAGTCAATTACACGAAACTACAGTGTTCACTGTGCTACAACAAAACTCATTTCAGTTATTTTAATCTACTCTGTAGTCTACTTTTAGTTTATTTATAGGTAAGTAAATGTAAGAATATAAATGTATATATATTGAATATAACTGTGCTGAGGAATACAAGCAGCTTCCTGTGCTTTAGACAGAGAAGATTTTTTTTCATTTTATTCAAATAAAGATGGTGATGATGAGGTCACATGCAAAATAAGATGATGGAAGGTATGCCATAGTGACTTTTTCCCTTCTTATCCCGCACACCATTAACAGCCCCTTAAGGCAGCATCGCGACAGCTTTCCCTGTGAAAACTCAACTCCAGGTGGGGAGGAGCCAGTGTCCCTAGACAAGGCAGCAGGAGAGAAGCAGTGGTAATGAGAAAAATGCTAATTTAGCCGTGGAGATATTGCACTTGGCCTCCCTGATAAGGGATCAAGGGGATCAGGGGAGAGGCCAGCTCTGACTTTGGAGGGCAAAGGAGAATGCGATTCTCTGTAGAGTGGGGGAAAAATGAAGAGGAATAGGAGGCTGGGGAGTGGAAGAGGTGAGAGAAATTAAAGGATGTGGCCTCATAGTGCATGGTTGCAAAGCAGGAAAAGAGCGTAACATTGCTTTAATATGTGAAGAGATGAGAATAAAAAAAACCCACAATGCTACAGCAGGGACTCCTAATTCAATTTTCCCTGCTGCTTTTTAGCATTATTTGATCAGTGGCTAAGCAAAGCGAAGGGGATGTTCCACCAGCGTGTGACTGTCAAGAATTAAAAGCTTCTTTAAGCATCAGCTAGTGTTAGGATACGGAAGACACCCCTCACCCATGCTTCTCTCTAACACTCTGCCCCCAAAGAAGTATGTGACATTTAATCCAGATGCTGCAACTTGGGATCTGAGGTGAATTACTGCACTGATCGCTAGGAGGAAACCGCGGCCTCTCTGCAGTAGCAGGCGGGCAACCTGATGGAAAACAGGGATTAACAGTGGTACAGTTTCTACTGTGCTTTTCCAGATCTGCAACACAGCAGGACTAAAATACATTGAAGTGTCTCTCACCCCACTGTCACAACCACCACCACAGATAACAGCATCAACACTCACAGCTTCTGTAGTCCAGTGTAGAGCTCCATATCGACGTCTCTCAGAGTCTGCAATCCTGTCCAGTTCTCTATATGTCTGTAAACAGTGAGAAAGAGAATTGTAAATGAGATATTCCGGTTCATCCTAGAAGAAAAGAAAAACAAACCAGGACACATGACAGAAGAAAACTCTTTTTTTTTATAGTCGCAAGTTGCAAATTAACAAGCTGTGTATTGTCAAAAGTTTTCTGAATCCATATTCATTTAAACTGCAATTATTGGAACAGTTCTGACAGAGCGCTCTCTGCTGCCCTCTGATAGATTTAATTGCCAGGAGGCAGCTTCTGAACCTTAATCTCTGTGAGGGGAAGTGTGAGGGGGACACAGCAAATAAACACAGCAGATGACTTTACTTCTGCTAATACTATCACAGTCCCAGGGGATGTCTATGTGGTGGGATAAAAGGAGAAGCTGGTGGCTTTAAATTAGCTTCAGGAAAAAAAAACTGCATTTATAAATGATTTGTTTGTTAGGGTTTCAATTGAGCTGGGGGAAATGAGGAGATGAAGGAGAGGACATGGCAAAGGTTTTATTGCTTTGTGTCAGAGTGAAGAAAATAAGATTGGAAGCTCATGGGAACTTTGGTTAATGTCACAGGTTTGAAATTTGACATTTAAGCTAAAGAAGTGGTGAAAATATGACAACTGGCTTGATCTAAGTAAGTAAAAAGTAAGTAAAAACTTTATTTATATAGCACCTTTCAAGATAAAAATCACAAAGTGCTTCACAGAAGCTAAAACCTAAAAATAAAAATCAACTAAAAGCAAGTTTAAAAAGATGGGTTTTTAGCTGTTAATCTACGTCCATATACAGTTCAGACACATGGAGTTGTGTTAAAAAACACAAATCCATTAACATTGAAGCACAACACAATCATGCAGTCTAAGCCCAAGAGTTGTGTGATCACATAGCAGCTTGTATTTTATAACAACAGCAGGAAAATAACATTCCTGCAATTGTTTTTTGGCAAAACCTGAGCTTCAGTATATCTTGTGGGTCTTGTGCATCTGGTGTACAATTATGAAGCAGCATCTAAGACATTCTGTTTATTTGAGCCCTGTGCTCCGGGGTGCACCACCTGATTTTTGTGGCGGGGAGGATACAGACCTGCCAAATGCAACCAGCACTGCTGGTACCCTGCTGTGCATGACTTTATTGATGGCTAACTGGGTTGCCAGCTTTTTTTTTTTTTGGGTGCCAGATGGGAGCAGTAGGCAATGAGATCACGAGTGACACTGTTGTGTGATATTTTTACAGTAAATGAGCGTTTATATTACAGACAGAATATGTATCATTCTGATGTTAATACAGAATGAGGCAAGGAATATCAAAGAGGAGATAGGAAATTTCAGATATTAATGCAAACTGGTTAAATGGATAAGTTCACTCTGTCAAAGTCAAGTCAAAGTCAAAGTCAACTTTATTGTCAATTCTGCCACATGTACAGGACATACAGAGAATAGAAACCACGTTACTCTCAATCCCTAGATAAAATAGCAAATGAACATTTAAATATAAGAGTGATTAAAAAATGCAGGTAAAATAATTAAAAAGTAAAAATTTAAATAAAT